ATAGAATAGAATAGAATAGAATAGAATAGAATAGAATAGAATAGAATCTGGAAGGGACCTTGGAGGTCTTCTAGTCCAGCCCCCTGCTCAAGCAGGAGAGCTATATCATTTCAGACAGTCCAGTCTCTTCTGAAATACCTCTAGTGATAAGAGCACCCACGATTTCCAAAGGCAAGCTGTTCCACTGGTTAATTGTCCTCACTGTCAGGAAGTTTCTCCTCAATTCCAGATTGCTTCTCTCCTTGATTTAATTTCCATCCATTAGTTTCTTGTCCTGCCCTCTGGTGCTTTAGAGAATAATTAGCTCCTGTTCTTCTGTGTGTGTGGCAGCTCCTCAAATACTGGAACCCTCAAGTTCCAGTTACTAATGTCCAAAGCCTAAAGTTCTGCGAGTTAATTCTGATGCAGATGCATACTGCCGAGACCCAAAAATCTAGTCAACTCAGGAAAACCTAGGACAGATGGTTCTCGACTTACAGTTACAATCAGTGGTGGGTTCCTCCCGGTTCGGACCAGTTCGGCCGAACCGGTAGAGGTGACAATATGACGTCACCGAACCGGTTCTCTTTGTTCGGGAGCTGGGCCGTCCCGCCCGCCCCTACATTATTCTTACCTTTTATTTGGCCCCACCCCCAATCTATTCGCTGCCTCCCAAGTCCCAGCTGATCGGCTAGAAGAAAGAAAACTGTTTAAACCTTCCCCACTCTCCCAGAGGCCCTCCAGAGGCCAGAAACAGCCCGTTTCCTGACTTCCAGTGGGCCCGGAAGGCCCGAAAATCAGCTGGTTGGCGCGCACTGGAGCTGAGCTAGGGCAATATTCGCATGCCCACAGATATGGCTCCAGGTGTCACCTGTGGCACACATGCCATAGGTTCGCCATCACGGGTGTAGGGTCTCCTGATGGGCAGGGCGGTTGGACTAGATGACCTACAAGGTCCCTTCCAACTCTGTTAATCTGTTAAGCCCGATTGAAGCAAAGAAAGGAGTTTTTTTCCGTGCTTTCTTGGCCAGAATAAGCTAACATTTCCGATTCTCCTTGGCAGCTCAGCCTGCAAACCGCCCATTAAAAGTTACTTCTCTTCCCCACAGTTTTAGAGCCGTATTTAAAAGTGTCGTTTCGGAGATCATTCT